TATTTTAATTTTGAGTCCTTTTGCAGTTTTTATACAGTTAAATGGCACACAAATTACGTAATTCACCGTGATATATTAATATTTCGTTAAATATTTCGTTTAAAATGCCAGATTTCCTGAAAATACATCAGAATCTACAAAAGGAATTTCACTACTAATTGCCTACTTTGCGTACTGTTGCTAGTACCATTTTCACAACAAGGGATAGCATTCTTCCCCTTTCTCTGTCCTTCGTAAATGCAACCTTTTGTAAGGGAGTGTCAAACCGCGGCTGTCAATAATTATCTAACGCTAGCGTTGCTCGCGAGAAAAAATTGTTCACCTATGATCAGTGCTATACAATGCTATAACAATTCACAAATATTTTTAAAACATAAAATTATCTAAACTCGTAACTGTAGTTAAGCGTTTGGTGGAAATGGGCTGTACAATATAGTCTTTTACATAAAGTATTTTACATAACATAAAGTTAAAGCATGAAACCAGCAAATGCATCGTTAAACGATAGATACAATTTACTTTTACAATTTTGTAAATGGGTCGTGTTCGTATTTAATCGCAAAATTTTAATTAGTCCTGTGAAATTATTTTCTTTCACCATTGGTTCCTACAGGTAAAAATGATCCAAAACCCTGATTTGTGGAAAAATTGGTGGTTTCCTTAAATTGCTATATTGTGAACTCATACTAAAAGTTCTGAGTTGTCAAGGCAAATTGTTACATTAAAGAGCCCTTTCAGTTTTTGGCTCTCTTAAGGTGTAGATACATACATATGTATGTATGTAAGTACATAAGCGTTTTTTTTTTGTTTTGTGCAATTGTAAGAAGGTTCAAAGTTATAAGTTTTTATAATAAGTTAGTATAAAAAACTTAAAAGAAAACTTACGTTGAAAAAATTACCAAATTGAAAAAATTAACAGATTACCAAACTCGTTCTAAAAAGAAAAAAATTACCAGTTTTGGTAAAAAATTACCAAAGCGGCAACGTTGCCTATGATCTTAAGTGATAAAGGGGTACATGGCTTAAATTTATCAGTTTATCCGCATTTTTTCATCAACGCATCTTGGTTAATAATTCGTTTATTTATTATTTAACTTATCTGGCTAGTTACGTTTCATTCTTACCTTCAGCATTGTGTTCATTTGCGTTTTATGTGTTCTTAGCAAAAATGACCTGTCAGGGTTGAATTTTGCTGTAATGTAAACGTAACGTTCGATAAAGTGGTAAGAGGTAACTAGCACCATATGAGTTTAAACCATCCAGCTCTGCATCCCCTTTGCAATAGTTCAGAGACAGTTCTGGAATTTGTAGGGCGGGTCTAGCGCTTTGCCAGACTGTCTCTAAATTTTGCTGCAGGGTCTTTATCTGTTTAATTTTTTTTTCTATATTTTTGATAATAAAGCTGCATCGATGCCTATGTACCTACAGTACTTGAATTTTTTCTTGCAAAAAAATTAGTTCTCACTCGCCTATTGCATTGTTTTTTTTTTTGCCAGATAATAGTAATTACATGAGGGGATACAAAACCTTTTGTTCCCTACCATGAAGACCGTGCTACAGACTTAAACGGAATGAGTTTCTCTAATTAATTTTTTTTTAAATATCTTGTTTTTAAATGCACATATTTTTTTTTCAGTCGCCAAATTGGCTCAAGAACAAATCGCCCCACTCGTAAAGAAAATGGATCAGGAACACAAATTTGATCCATCTGTGGTGAATGCAGTTTTCGAAAATGGTCTGATGGGCATGGAAGTCGATCCCGACTTGGGAGGCAGCGGTTGCAATTTTCTGACTACCATTTTGGTTGTCGAAGAGCTGTCCAAGGTTGATCCAGCCGTTGCCGCTTTCGTCGACATCCACAACACTTTAGTTGTCTCATTGATGATGAAAGTGGGAAATGAGGAGCAGAAAAAGAAGTATTTGCCGAAATTGTCGCAGGAATATGTAAGTACCGGTATGCACATTTTGTTGTATGTAAGAAAGTCTAAGTTCGGGCGGAGCCGAACATTAAATACCCGGCGCAAGTATTAAACATATGTTTTTCACCATTCCGAAAGCTACCGCTACATAGTAAGCCGGGGTGTATCTATTTTGGGTAAATTAGCGTCCTTAAATTTCGAAATATTGAAGTTTCAAGCATTTCTGAAATTTACCGTTATATGAAAAGTGGCCGTAATATTAGTCTGATTTCAATAATTTTCAATGTTTTGTGTTTTATGTGACAAGCACAATAACCATATCGAGTTTGGTACGAATTCGTAGAACGGTTACAGAGATACATATATGTATGTGATCATAAGTGGGCGGTGCCACGCCCATTTTCCAAAAATTTATCATAAACGTGTTTCTTGGTAAAGAAATGTTGCAAGCATCAATTTTGAATAAATTAGCTTCGGCATTTACTGATTTATCGAAGATTTCGTATTTCTTTAAATTACCGTTATATGGGATGTAAATTTTCTGCCGTTTGGTATGTTGTACCAAAACTAACAATCGTGCCAAATTTGGGAGACATTTGTGGAGCGGTTCCCAAGATATACACGTGTATTCATAAGTGGGCGTGGCTACGCCCATTTTCCAAAAATTTATAATATTCATATTTTTCGTCTAAAAATTATTGTAAATATCAATTTTGAGTGCATAATATTCAGTAGTTACTAAAATATCGCAGTTGTCGTGTTTCGGGGGTAATTACTAGTCATCTATAAATAGAAAAAACAAAAGAAGAAAAGTGTCCGTGCACTAGGATTTGAACTCGATCCCAACAAGTTGGTAGGCGAACGGGCTTCCATTCAGCCAATGCCGCCGTCGAGATAACGTGGAAAAAAGACGTACTTAAATTTGTTCTCAAACTATTTTTGTATGTGACTTCGAAACTGCCGCCTCCGAGTGGGAAAATGAAATGTTTGGCAATGTAAAAAGTAATGTATCGCCCTACATATCGACGCTACACATTACCCACCTAGTCGTTAACTTTTTCGTGGTAGAAAAAGTTAATGCATTCTCCATGAAGTGTAAAATTTTTCTTTTTACTATTTTGTCCCCTCATCGTATACTCGAATACGTGCTTTATCTCTAAATACCAACATTTTTTAGACTACAATCAAGTAAAAAGTATTAATTTTTACTATGCGTTATTTCCCTCTGTGTAGGTTGAAGAACGCATTGATTTTTGTGCAAAATACCGTTGCTGCCAATACAAAGTTACGAGACAGTTTTGCAAACAACTCAGCTATGCTAAAAGTATTTGCTACTCATTTGTTTATTTGTTAATCTAAACTACTTAGTCTTAAAAGTATTGATGTATATATTAACGAATTTTTTTTAAATTATTTTTAGGCTGGTAGCTTTGCCTTAACCGAGCCTGGCGCTGGTTCTGATGCGTTTAGCTTGAAAACCGTTGCTAAGAAGGACGGCAATCATTACGTTATCAATGGTACGAAAATGTGGATTTCCAACTCGGACGTGGCTGGTGTATTTCTAGTCTTCGCCAATGCCAAACCAGAAGCGGTAAATCGCAAAACAAATCTAAATCAATATTTAAATAATCAGCTTTGGCTTACTTTATCTTCCAGGGTTACCGCGGCATTACCACATTCATTGTTGATCGCGACACACCTGGCTTGATCGTGAATAAGCCCGAAGACAAGCTTGGCATTCGCG